GACTGATCCGGATTAATTTAATTTCACGATTTTGATTGGTTAAAGGTAACAGGTGACTATCGGGTAATCTCGTGATGTGTTGGCCTTTGGAAGACTCGTGAAATATTTCTTTTCTATTTTACCAAGTTTGATATCAATTCGCTACACTAATAACGATAATGCTAAAAACATCTATTTAAATTTGTACGTAAGAAATGGGAATATATAGGTCGATCTTTAAATTATTGCGATAGCGTAGTACAGTAGTATTATGAAAATACCAGAATGTCAAAGCCACAAAAATCTTAAGAATTCTTATCGATTATGTTCGATCCATCCTCATCCTTGTCACTTTTCTTTAATTTGTCTACTATTTATTATGGTGATTCACTAGAATCTCTGCTTTTATAATTCATGAATCATGATCTTGGTCAAAGTCAAAACCCATTTCTGACAATCGGCCAGTCAAGATAAACAGCTTTTAAATTGAATACTCGTATATTAGGTTTAGTGAATACTTGCACAATTCCCGATTTTGAAAATCGGCTTAGCGTTAGCCGCTTTTTTTAGAGACCACTAATCGGGTGCTCTACGTAATGTGCAAGTAATTTTGAGATATTTTTAGTACTTTAAAGTATATTCAAAATGTCTATCTGTCTTAGGACCTGGTCCGAATTATGCAATACGTTATTCTTAATTTTGGTCAAAGATTATGTACGGAGTTGCACTAGTTACACTGCAGCAATTTTGTAAAAATATCGTTCCTGGTTTTTTTAAAGTTATCAATACGTATAATAACGATAAATTCATTATTTCATATTTAACATTTCACTAAGCATGACAGAAGTTCGAAGAAATATACCTTCGTTTTCCGCTGTTACGTCAACATTCCGGTCATATATTCTCTCACTGCCAATACTAACAGCTACGATCTCCTGCGTAGCAATTTTGTTATATGCATTTAGTGCTCTCTTGTTTGATGTATACGACACGCTTAACCTTCTACCGGAAAAATTTTTTGAGGGACAAGGTATTTTGTTCGTGTCTTTTGTTCGTATCTGAGTGACGCCAAGAGAAACCCAGAATCTCAAAGCACAGATTTTCAGGTTTTTTATTTTATTTTATTTTTTGGCATCACTCATTTAATCACCTTTAAATTTAGTGTCGTCTTCTTAATAACAACACATTATGATGTTTCAGTGTGGCGTCTCTTGACATATCCATATTCACACAAATCTCTTGGATTTCTATTATTTAATCTTTTGGTGTTTTTGCCATTGAGCACGGCGTTTGAACATACAATTGGCACTCTCGAATATTCTTATGTGTTAATCACAATTTTCACCTTACTTTCGGGATCTCTTTATCTTCTGGGTTCGCTGATTTTCAGCTACAAAGAAATTGATATAGGAGGATTAAGTGTTTGGATATTTGGTCTTGTAGTATGGGAAAGTAGAGAATTGGCTGGAAGTGAGCGGGAGTAATTATTATCATTTAATTACCGGTATGGAGGTGAGTCAGTAGAAGTACACCAAATCTTTTCTTTTTTTCCCAAGTAAATTGAACAAAACAACAAGAATGTGCATTTCTACTGACTTACCCATATATGTATCATATCTTTGATTTTTGTTAATCTGAGTCATTTTTTTTACATGTGAATATAGAATTTTTGGACTGTTTAGGGTTCCATCTCATTTTTATCCACTAGTGTTATTGCTGCTGATGGAAATAATGTTTGAACATAAATGGTTTGTTAGTTATCTATGCAGTTTGTTCGTCGGTTACTTTTGTAAGTCTTTTTTTTAGTCCTGATATATGTTCAACCATGTGCATAGTTATCATTATCCTAATTTTTTTTTTGTTCAAGATTCTTTTGGGTATCTTCCTCGTTTACTGCCAACTTCAGATTTTTTCTCAAATCTTGAATCTAGACCTCCTTTCTCCCGTTTTGTAAATATTCGTGGATTTGTCAAGGCTGAGGATGGTAGAAGGGGTGGATGGTGGCTACCACTTTGGAATGATGAATCTAGTGAGGACCCCTTAGAATCACCTATTAATAATGCCAGTAATGTTGACGGACAAAATCAGAGTGATGCAATGTATGTTATAAACAAGGATTTAACATAGCTTCATACTATTATTTTATTATTTAACCTGTTTACTCTTTATATTAAATATTAGACAAGTTGCGCATTCATCTTCACCTGATCCACATTCAACTCAGGTTTTTGTAGTACCTTCAAATAATACTACTCGATCAAATTCACCGACACAGGAAACTGTATCTTTAACAGCAGTTTCAACAACAGCGGATCCGGATACTAAAGAAAAGGATGTTGAATTACTACCTGCTCCTTAATTTTCAATGATTACAGTTCTGTTGTTGATTTATTGGGACTGTGAATGGGATGGTAGGCTAAAAAAAAAACTGAGCATCTTTTTCGAAGGCTTGATGTAATATATCGAATGCTCAACATAATCTGTTTTTGCAAAAGATCAAGTTTTTATCACATATAAGTACAATATATATGTTGGTATTTAATAAAGCTTGCCAACTGTTACAGTATAAATCATAAATTTAGATGAAAGTTTTTAAAATGTAATTTTAATATAAAGCCAATAAAATAGCACTAATTGAAATTTTATCTATCGCGTTTAGCGATGAGACCCAAACTATTTACGGCAAGTAATCGGCATTACGGCAGATTGGGATATTTTTCCGGAATTTACATAATTATAAAAAAATTGCATTTAAAATTACATCATAAGTATCATTTTCGTAGTTTAGGACCGGCAAGTGCCAAAACCACCAGGTTTGAGTCTCATCACTAATCTCGTCAAAACTTAGAAATTTAATCAAATTAATCGACTCGATCAATTTAATGTGAAAAATATTACTCAATTTACATACAGAAATATGAATAAATATTTTTGCCATGTCAACCTGTTGCTTACACGCTGTTTATAATATGTTTAATAATAGCATGTAAAGAAAGCTGAATAGACGGAATTCATTTAATTTAAAATAAACTTTGTATATTATTTACATAAAGTATTCTAAAAAAATATCAACCTTATTCCTCGTAATTTGCAGGAAATAGTATCGGTATTATATCGATATGCACTCCGCCTAAAAATAGTGTTTAGATTAATTTGATTGGCGGGACCGCAGAAATTACATAATCCTTCTCTTAACGTTAACTTTTTGTGTATAACATCTTAATCAAATCTCGCAAACTAAAAAAAATGAGCTGGTAAGATTTGTCAATAAAATTTATCGATAAAGATTAGATACAGTTGATTTTATTTGGTAAAAACTTTTAGGTCGGGTTTTAAGAAGAAATTAGATCGTACAGGAACAAGGGTATATTATATTTCTATTGTGCATAAGCTCTTACTACCATATTTCGAATTTACATTAATAAATACATTTTGGCACGAACAGCTTTTGCAAACAGTCGGTTCAATCGAAAAGACGGTAAGATTCTGTATAGCAGAATTTAAATCAACGGAACTGATCACGATTTAACCTCAGCCACTTACACTTTAGGTTGATAAAAGTTTCGAAGAAGAGGAGCGTCGATTTAAAAGGTTTGTCGACATTTTATTTCGATATTTTTATTCAATATTAACTATTAAATAAAAAAGAAATAAAAAAACAATATTTTGTTACAGTCTCGAGTCAAAAAGCGAGAAATTACATAAAGAAGCGAGAGGATACTTAGATTCTTTGCGTGGTTAGCATTTTCGGCTTTTGATAGTTACACATTTAAATATTAGAACCCTTTTATTTTAATTTTATATGCTTATAATATGAATAGCTATATCTAGTTCACAATCACGAATAGCAGATACTATTGAACATTTCTATGATGATTCAACTGATGATTCATTGGCTGGAAAGAAATATAAGGAGTCTATAGACCGTCTTGAGCATGATTGCCGGACTTACTTGGTTAGTGGTTACTTTCTCAAATTTATATTAATTTGATATACTGAATAGAACCTGATTATAGGACGACCCATATCGTCAAACTGTAACTGAGCCTATAGGACGATTTTGCGCATATTTTCCGGATATAAATGATGCTATCAAAAGACGCGATAAAAAACTTTTAGATTATGATTCACAGCGTGCTAAAGTACGAAAATTAGTTGATAAACCATCAGATGATGCTAATAAATTACCAAGGGTACGTTTATTCAAAGTAAATTCTTAATGATTATGATAAGCATTATAATGAATGAATTCTTTGATAAATTTGGTATAGGCCGAACAAGCAGCTAATGAAGCTCGTGAACTTTACGAATCATTAAATACTCAACTAGTTAATGAGTTACCTAGATTAATAGATCTTCGAGTCCCTTACTTTAATCCTACATTTGAAGCATTGGTTAAAATACAACTTAAATTTTGTCAAGAAAGTTATGAGGGATTGAATAGTTTACAAGAATATTTTCATGATAATGAACAAGTCGACAATAAGGTTGAAGCCGTTTTACAAAAAATGAGAGATTTGGCCATTTGTGGAATGGGATAATATTTCTTTGAATGAATAAATTATTAATGGTTGTTGATGCAAGTTTTTCGTTAATGTTATTATTATTATTTAAGAAAATTTGTTTTTTCTTTAACTAGCTGCCGAATATTTATATTTACGTTTTAATGTAAGGTCCAAGGTGTTAATAATTGTATTTAAATATCTTACTGAAAATTAATATATACTTTTAATTTCTTAATTTCTGTTTGAAATCTTAGCATTTTATGATGTTAGTTGATACTTCTTCGTACTAATACATATTTGGAAGTTATAACTTTATTAAGGTGCTTTTTGTATTGATTTAGATTATCAACATTATCATATACAGTATAAATCATATATAAAAAGATGCTTATCCTTTCTTCTGTAGCTTTTCTCATATTACAAGGTTTCTTTTTAGCAGATTAGTTTAGGGATGGTAAATGACCTGGTCATTTGATCAAAATTTAAATGACCTCTAGTCATCAAATAATGAATGACCAGGTCATTTACATATGAAGTAATTTTATTGGTCAGATATCTTAATATAAAAAATTATCAAACGATATTATTTCACTATCGATAATAGTAGCTACATATAAAAGTCAAAATTTACTAATCGATAATTTCGTCTTAAATAAAGTTGTTCTCTTGAACAACTTTATTTAAGACGAAATTATCGATTAGTAAATTTTGACTTTTATATGTAGCTACTATTATCGGTCATATTTTATAAAAATTAATTTTGTCTAATAATCAATTTTGATTGGCTAAACGGCATTAGATTATCTAACAGAAGTAAAATGACCTTCTTAGGTCATTTGTGTTTTGAAATGACCAATGACTAATCATTTGTCATTTGGGTCATCTCAAACCATTTACCATCCCTGGATTAGTTAGCATTACAAAGTATAAGTATATTCTAACAGAATCCAGTCATTTTATTATTTAATATTTTAACTACGGATGTTACGGTCCGGCAAAAACCATGGTCCGAACCAGTCTTTTGAACTGGTCTTAGACTGATCTATAGTAAAAACGCCAAAAATTTGCAATAGCATATTATTATTTTAACCATGCTTAGTATCCAGGTCTTTTATATTGAAATTAAAAAAAAAGGAAGTAGGAATATTATACTAAGGGGTATTTAATTCCATAAAATACGATCTCAAATTTTAAAACATCTCGGGTATTTTGCTATAGTTAAATAATCAAAATAAGACTAGTAGTTCGTGAAATACTTTTAAAGAAGTGATATTAACTAACAAACTTCAAAATTAAAATTAAAATCTAATTTAAAAACCAAATTCTAAAACCAGATTTTATAGGTTGGAATTTAAAATTAAAACTTTACTATTTCTACATGTAATAAGCAATAACTCATATTTACACATAGCAAAGAGAGTAATAAGATTATATATATAAAATAATCTTAACTAGTGACGAAGTCGTCATCGCCATGTTGTAATTGATAGCTAGATAGGTTATGATTATATTGTTGCTGGAATGAACGTTTTCCCATAACATAGCATTTATTAAGAATATGTTGGTGATGTAATTTAGATAACATCATAATTATATTTGCAAGTAAATATGCTACATTTTTTTAAAGGATTGTTTTTAAGGGTTATTATATGTAACCTGGTTTTCCATCCGAATATTCAATTTCAAAACCACAAATGACCCAGGTCATAAATCTGCATCCGGTTCGAAACTCTAATCTTACCTTGATTTTAGATAGGTTTAATCTTAAAAAAAAAAAAAAAAAAAAACAACGTATATTATGATTAATTAATATATTAATATTATTATATAATTTAATGATAATAATCATGAAATACCTTGAAATGTAATCCAATCAACGAAAAGACCAAACATTTAAGATCTTGTACTAAATAATAAAATACACGTAGACCTTCAGGGTCATCACTTTCTTGCACGTCAACAAGTGACCCAATTTTTGCTGTCTATATTTTTTTATATTTTTGCTTAGCATGTAAACTCTAAAATAAACCCATAATAATAGATTTAAATCTATACCTCAAATGAGATGTGTTCATTGCCCAGCCGAATTTCAAGTTCCTGTCGTCCAACAACATTCTTTTTTGGCCATCGTTGATCGTCTTCTCTGTAATCGATTAATTTACGTAAATCGGTATGTCAGTGAAGAGACTTGCTGATATTAAAATACTTACTTCATAACTTCACTCTCCTGAATGATTCGTTTTAATTCTTTCATCATTAAGGGACTAACATACACTAATCAATATCCCAAGAGAATAAAGAGGATGAGTATTTCCAGATATAATTATAATAAATACAAATTTAAACTTTTATATCCGACAATTATTTACTTTCTTTTCTTATTAGACTGTCATTCCGATAATTTGAATTGTTGGCATAACGGCACCTTCCATCAGCACGGAACTCAAACTCAAGAAATTCGTGGCCATAACGGCCCATATGACCGGTGCTTAGTAAATGAGAAAATAAAAAGTAGAAAGTATTAAAAAATATGTATTAAAGATATAAAAAGGAATATATCTTGCAAGCAAATAGCTTTATAACAATAATCAACGCGTACTAGTAGCGAACATAAAACTCGTCTTCGTTTCCCATATTTTAAAATAGAAATTAAGAAAGTTAACGTTAATGCAGTAAATTTGACTAACATTTAATGAGACTAAATGTCACGTGATAAGGGTTTGCTTAACAGTCAACTTTTGGCTGTTAGTGCATATGTGCAGTACGTAGTTTTTAACGTTTTAAGATTATAATGATTTCTAGAGAATATTTTGAAAAAATTAAACATTACTCGACGAGTGAAGATGGGTCAAAAGTGGCTGAGCTATTAACAATAAGGGCAACAACTTTGATTCAACAATTAGCTACATTCTTTCAACATGTAAGCATGCATTCCTTGAAATTGATGTTTACATTGTATATAATATCTTTTTAGTTGTCTCAAAAGCTTAAACTTACTAGAAAACAAGAATAGAAGACGATGTAAAGAGGTATTTGTCAGCACCGTGGGACGATCTTGTTATACAGTATATAAAGTGTATTATAGCTATGCATAACAGAAAGTTTGCGGAAGCTTTTGAGGAACATCATAGCTTGGTCCAGTATCCTTATAGTTTTGATTCATCTAATTGTTCTTTTTTTGAAAATATAAGTCCCTTGACAATCCATTTATAATAAAGGATCTTTCAAAGAGCGTTTTCACAACAGCTGTCGCGTTGGTCCTTGCCGATATTGTACACCATAAATTATGATTTACGATTGCTTGCAATCAAGGTAAATAATTTTTAATTTATTATGTCGATAATTTTCCTCATTCCTAATGAGCTTTAATTTTTAATTCACAATAAATTAAGTCGGACTTGATTTTTATGATGGCAGAAAAACCACCAAAGAATTTGGAAATAGCAGCGCGTTTAATTAATAAATCATTTTCATTGTGCATAACAGACAGGTAGAATTTTATAGTTTAGTAGTAGAGTTTCATACATGCGTTAAAAAAAAACTCACTTGATCAACTCTAGGGCTGCATTGAACGTCTCTCGCAAATGGGGGACTTATTATTTTGCGGGACTCTTGTTCAAAACATATTTCAAAGTTCGTATATATATATATATATGTTTATGTTTTTTTTTTTTTAATAATTCAAAAGACATTAATGTACAATCTCGCATTTTTTATTTTAGTTGAAACAACAAAATCTATGTAAAAATGTTATAAAATCAATTAAAGCATCAATAGACTTGCCTTCATTTGGACAATTTCCTAGAGCACACCAAGTGACTTTTTTGTATTATCAAGGACTGCTTGCTTTTCTTGAAGCTGAATATAATCAGGTTTTAATTTGATTTAATAATTTAAAATTTTTTTTTCATTTTTGACTATGTTCTTATATTGTACATATTTTCTAATTAGGCTGAAGAAAAATTTGTAACAGCATTTCGAATGTGTCCTAGATCTAGTCTGAAAAATAAGGAGTAAAGTTATCGAATTTCATAAAATCTGCTTTAATAATATATCATTAATAATTATACTCAATTTCTTTTTTTATATAATATTAATCTGTAGGTTGATACTTCGCTATCTTATCCCTGTTTGGCTAACACGCGGTGTTTTGCCATCTCCGGAGGTACTTTCTCGGTATCCTAGGTTAGAAGTTTTGTACAAACCATTCATTGAAGCCATTAGAGATGGTAATGTTAAAGAGTTTGATGACGCACTAGCAAAGTTTGAATTAAAGTTAGTTGCTCAAAACACGTTTCTGACTGTTGAACTTGCACGGGAGATTGCAATGAGAGTCTTATTTAAGAAAGTGTAAGTAATTTTAAGAATCTTGATTTGCCCACATTAAGTTTTAATATTTATATTTTTTTATTTGTTAGTTATTTAATCAACATTCGAGAGTCAAAGGTCTCATTAAGCAAATTCCAGCAGGCTCTTAAATACGTCGGAAGAGACGTGGAAATGGCTGAAGTAATGTGGTATATTGCTTCAATGATTCAAAAGGTAGTTTTTCAATTTGTATCTTCTATTTATTGAGACTAAATTTATAATAATTACATGATTATTTTAGGGTTTAATCAGAGGATATATATCTTACTCTAAAGAGTTTCTAGTTTTAAGCGAGAAAAATGCCTTTCCCGTCTTTGGTGCACCAACATCCATTTAAAAAAAAAAATTTCAAAGTGTGGTTTGACTATCTGGCGTCAATCATAATGACTATCTACTTGTAATTAAATTCTTAAAGCATTTTTAATTAAAATTAATAGATGGTAACTAAATAGAATATACTGTAAGGTAGAGGTAGGTATTTTACAGACAAGTTATCTATTAATAAATTCCAACATTTATTCAAATAAAAAAGTTTATTATTTTGCATTTAATTTAGACATTTTTGGCATTCAATCATTAATATCATCTAGACCTTCTAATGCTAAAGCTTGTAATGTCATTGATACTTCGCTTGGTCCATATTTGCCTAGCAAGTCAGCTGCAAAATTTAATATACGATTAATTTTTGAATAAAGATGAATAAATTGAATAAAAAAATCATACCGTTAACTCTCTTGCGGTAATCTTCTTTATTATCCATTTCAATGCTTGTCCCACTTTTCTTTATTTGTTCAGATTGTTCAATAACTCCAGGGTCTAAAAATTTAAGTTTTAACCTTGGGTGTTTATTCGAAGTAACGTGACCACCCCATAACCATTGAGGAATTGTCCGAGGAATTTCGATTTCTCCTGAAAATTTTTCGATGAACTCACTTTCTTCTGATGATATTACACCACCGCGAAGATATCTGGTTTAATTATCACAAGGATGAATCAATTATGAACACAAGTGAAAAATGATGTAACTTTTATAATATTATTTCTGACCGAAGAAATTCACCCATACACGAAGGAATACTCCACATTTGTAATTTTCGCAAGCAAGCAACGACTAGACCAGTAACATTTGCACCATCTAAGCAATGAATAAATATTGGTAGATTTGATGGATCTATAATTATCTGATTATGTTATTTGTACATAAGTTTGCTAATTGATAATAAATATTTTGTAATTAATAAAGTTTAAAAACTTACTTGTACAGCTTGAATAGCTTTGCTATAACTCAAAGGTACGTTGTCCTTTACTTTACTAACTTGAAGATGAATATTACGAATATTCTGAGCTTGACAGAATTCCAATAATTCAAGAACTGGTTGATCAGGAATTAGAGAAAGCATTGTCTTTAATTTAAGTCTATAAAACAGAAATCAATACGTGAAAAAAAACTAATTGGTCGCGTAAGGAACGCTATGTAAGAAATGTATTAAGACGAACCTTTTAAGAAAACGATGATTCCGATTTTTGGGATATGCTCCCCTATATACTTCATCCTCAACAATAGCATAACGGAATGGTGGTATTAATGGTGGAAGCATTATAAATATTGAAATTAAATCGCGCTAAATCTTGGTTGTATAGGTGTTTTTCTTCGTTATTTATTCTATATGTAAGTTCTTGCTTTTAAAATATATTCTAGCATCTAGAATGTCATTTGACTCTAATACTGTAATGTGATTATCACGAATCGACCTCTGATTGGTTGATTTAGCTTAATATTGCGTTATCAGTTATGGAATTTTATATACGTAGCGATAGTGCCTGCGAGTACTAGAGTTGTTAATGGGTCGGGTTGGGTTGACCCAATCCTCAACCCATTCCATTAAATTAAACTTACTCCAACACTCCACTCCGGGTTGCTCCAAATTATTTCTAGAGTGCTTCAGGTTGTTCCAATTTTATAGACATATTTTTGAACTCACTCCTGGGTTTACTCTGGAGTGCTCCGGAGTAAGCAACAACCCTACCTCTACGCAATTGAAAAATTGATTTTAACTATATTAATAAAATAAATGAAACATAGTTTATAATTATACTATTCATATATCATTTGCAAGTTACAGAATTGAATTTGCATTACTAGAACGTGAGTTAGAACGTTTTGATTTTTTCTAAATTACTATAATGAATTTTTATAAAAATCACATCTTCAAAATGTTCTAACTCACGTTCTAATAAAGCAAATTCAATTCTGTAATTTGCAAATGGTATAAGAATATTGTAGTTATAAAACTATGTTGAGACATTTAAGAGAATAATATGCAAATATTTGGGTCTTTAAAGCTTAAACTTTTAAATCGTAAATATTTACTATTTAAATTCGTAATTAAAAAAGTATTTGGTTTTCTTAACTATATTAATAAAAAAATTTAAAAAATGTCTCAACATGGTTTTATAACTACATTATTCATATAATATTTGCAAGTTATAGAATTGAATTTGCTTTACTAGAGCGGGAGTTGGAACGTTTTGAAAATGTGATTTTTTACAATTTTTATAATAAACTAGTGCCGGATTACTATAATAAAAAATCACATATCTTCAAAACGGTCTAACTTCCGCTCTAGTAAAGCAAATTCAATTCTATAACTTGTAAACGATATATGAACAGTATAGTTATAAAACTATGTTGAGACATTTAAGAATAATATGTAAAATATTTCGGGTCTCTATAGCTTAAACTTTTAAATCGTAAATATTTTACTATATAAATTCGTAATTAAAAAGTAAAATGAATTAAAAAATATCTCAACATAGTTTTAAAACTACACTATTCATATATCATTTGCAAGTTACAGAATTGAATTGGCTTTACTAGAGCGGGAGTTGGACCGTTTTAAAGATATGTGATTTTCATAGTAAATTACTATGCCGAATTTTTTTCAATAAAATTATTACATAGAGCCAATCATATACGTATAGTGCTGCACTATGATAGTAAATCATTTGATGTGCATGCTTTAGCTGCCCCTCCCATTCGGAAACAGATTATCAATTAATATATTTTGATAGTTAAAAATTAATAAAATAGCACAATTTTATCGTTATTATTTTTGTATTTAATTCTTTTATGTTTTAAAAAATTAAAATAAACATTCAAAAAATGTATTAGCACTATTTGCTATTTAAAGAAAATAAAACGTAAAAAAAATCTATTGTAACGGTAAATTTTTTGTTTTGGTTAAAATTACAAATATCATATAGAATAAAATCGAATAGAGTCAAATCGGCCTATATGATCATCTATTAATTCAGCATTAAGAGCATCTATTTGACAAAAAAATATATATATATATAAGAAAACTACAGTATTTTTATACAACAAATATCTAAATATACTCAACTTTTGTATATTGATTGTAAGCAATATAATTTTCATAAATATCGTTATTTTCAATTGGTTGCTTGCTTTCGATGACTAGGCCAGTATTTGAAGTACGTTAAGTGATAGAGCTATGAAAGTTAGAGTATAAGATATATTAAAATGCTAACTTCTTTGTTTAGGAATCTGTATCAAATATTGTCAATTAATCTTATACCCATTAATTCTGTAGAACTAATTTTACTGGCTTTCCGTATAGACAATAGATCCAATTTTATATCTGGAATTTCGATGTCGTTGCGTTGAAAATTGATAGATATGTTGAGACATCGAATTTGTATAAGCATTTTTTATATACCATGATTGTATTATCACTAGTGATACTGTATCATAAATAGGAACAAATAATGTGGAAAATAAAATTCGAGAAATACACCCTATACGTCAATGCTTGTAATGGGCCCAATAATGTCACTACGGCTAATTTCAATTTCACCTATAAAAAAATAAATTAATCGATTAATAAAAAGTCTGTTTTTCCTCAAAAGAGAAATTCTATAAAACGAACCAACTCTATATGAACGTAGCATGACCTTGACTGATATTATTTAAAAACTTTTTTTGACCTTGCTCTTTGACTTTGATCATGATTCAACCGCGATTAATTATTATTATTTTTTTTTTTTGACCTTGACCTTGAGTTTAATCGTGATCTCTCTATTTTTTTGACCTATCTGTAATGCGCCCCTAACCCGCGCATAACCGTCGTAACCGACCATGATCTCGTTACGTCCGTATCTATAACTAACAACAATATCTACATCTGTAATACAGTATGAGATTATTGCTGAGGATCGCATGGGAAAAGGGCAACGTAAGAAAACCTTGAGTTTAATCGTGATCTCGACCATTCTTTTTGACCTTGACCTTGAGTTTAATTGTGATCTCGACCTTTTTTTGACCTTGACCTTGATCCCGACCTTTGACTCTGACCTTTAACCTTGATCTTGACCTTGAACCTTGTGAGTTTAATCGTGATCTCTTTGATCACGATTAATTTTTTTTTTTTTTTGACCTTGACCTATGACCTTGAGTTTAATCATGATCTCCTTGACCACGATTAATTTTTTTTTTTTTTTTTGACTTGACCTATGACCTTGGAGCCCATCCTGAGCTTCCAAATAGAGTCTGTTTAATCGTGATCTCCTTGACCACGATTAATTTTTTTTTTTTTGACCTTGAGTTTAATCGTGATCTCTTTGATTACGATTATTAACCTATGACCTATGACCTATGACCTTGAGTTTAATCGTGATCTCCTTGACTACGATTAATATTTTTTTTTGACTTGACCTATGACCTTGGAACCCATCCTGACTTCCAAATAGAGTCTGTTTAATCGTGATCTCCTTGACCATGATTAATTTTTTTTTTTTTTGACCTTGAGTTTAATCGTGATCTCCTTGATTACGATTATTAACCTATGACCTATGACCTTGAGTTTAATCGTGATCTCCTTGACTACGATTAATATTTTTTTTTGACTTGACCTATAACCTTAGAGCCCATCCTGACTTCCAAATAGAGTCTGTTTAATCGTAATCTCCTTGACCACGATTAATTTTTTTTTTCTGTAATACGCCCCTAACCCGCGCATAACTGTCGTAACTGACCATAATCTCGTTACGTCCGTACTATAACTAACAACAATATCTATGTCTGTAATACAGTATGAGATTATTGCTAAGAATCGCATGGGGAAAGAGCAACGTAAGGAAACCTTGAGTTTAATCATGATCTCAACCTTTTTTCTTTTTTTTTTTTTGACCTTGACCTCTACCGCGATTAAATTTTTTTTTTTTTTTTTTGACCTTTAACTTTGAGTTTAATCGTGATCTTGACCATTTTTTTTTGATTTAGAGTTTAATCGTGATCTCGACCATTTTTTTTGACCTTGACCTTGACCACGATTAATTTTTTTTTTTTATTGACTTTGACCTTGAGTTTAATCGTGATCTTGACTATTTTTTTTGACCTTGAGTTTAATCGTAATCTCGACCATTTTTTAGAAGCGGTATTGGAGGCAGCGACATTAGAGGCGGCAATAGGAGGTGGTGTTGGAGGCGACATGTTGAAGGCGACATTGTTAAAGGCGACATTGTTGGTGGCAATCTTAGTAATTTTATCTGTTATTTTTATCTTTGAAAAAATCAAAAAAATCAAAAACTCACATCTTATTTATAATGTGTTCGCGAATTACAGAGTGATCAGATAAAAACAATTATGTTTCAAAAATAACTATTTTGATCATGGGGCTGATTCAATAACTGATAACTGATGGCTTCTGATTGGTCAATCACTTACAATTGTATTTTACTTTTTAAGGGAGCGGAGTAGGTTACACAGAATTATTATTAACTATAGGGTTAGGGTTAGTCCTGGGTTAAAGTTAGAGTTAGCAGGCATACAGGTAAAATTACCTTCCCGACATTTTTTATTAGTGCATCGAGACGGGTTTAGATAGCCATTTTTTGTATTTTTTTACGTTTTCATTTTTTTTTGCTTCGTCGGGCTTATCCGGGTCAACAAAAAATTCGTGATTTGATTGGTTAATTCACGTGATTCTACTCCGCTTTAGACGACCTCCAATTTGGACATAGTCTAAATGCAATATGTCCAATTAAATTACGATGTCCATATTTTGTTCGTATTATTTTATTTTTATTAGTCCAGCCAACACTGATCATACTGAATGCAGAATAATATAATACTGGACGTTGTACGTACACTTAGTTCGTAAGTTATTTAGTCTGCATTATTGCTAATGCGTTATCTCTTCGTATGTACATTTCACGTGTTTACTATGTTTTTGCAGGCGTAACTATTAAGAGATTTAAGTCCTCAAATTAATTAAATAGTATTAAAGAAAGTTATCTTGTCCGTGCTTTGATTTACACAAATCACAAACTGGACAGGCATTAAAATTTTTAATAGTATAGATTCTAAGAATTATTATACAGTGTTGGTCAAATCGTTGGTCAATAGTCCAAGGGGAATCTGGTCAACCGGTCTGGTCAAATTGGATGGCCAGGTCTATTAATTAATATCGATATAATCTGAATTTAACTCTTAGACCAGACCGGTCAAATTGGTCAAATCGGTCTGGTCAAGGTGGAACATTGACCAACTCTGAATTAAAATTATAATAGCGATAGTACGTATAACTGCTGAATTAACTAAAATCTAAGATTAACAAAAAAATAAGATATCGATATGTTAATCATCTAGATAGTCGATTTTACTGTATTAAGATCAAAAATTCCTAAAGTAAAAAGTAAAAGAACCTAAAATAAGAACAAAGGTTCAAAGTTAAATTTTTGATAAATTTGCTTAGAATTTTTAAATTTTAAACATACCCCACAATCAAGGGGTATAAATCTTATCGTTATACATTAATACGTAATGATAACGATAATAATCTTGTGATTATCACATTAATAAAAAACTTCAAATTTAACCACATTTCTAGTTGGAAAATTTAGATCCTTTATACTTTCTAACATGAGGTATCAAAGAATTACTCTTTTTTTTTTGAATAGCTTTCGATTTTTTTTTTTTATAGATATCGTAAAATGAAACCAATTTCTATTATAATTAGCAGCCTTCCTCCAAACGCTTCCAGTGAGCCAGCTCGCAACTTGGCAGAACCAAAAGACACCCCTTTTACTTCAGCTGAACTAGCAAAGGTTTAGCTAGAATTTATTTATGTGTTATTACATATGAGAACGTCTTAATTCATATTATTACCACATAAAAAATAAAAATAAAAAATAGTTCGATGGAACTGATCCAAAAGGTCCGATATATGTTGCGATTAAAGGTACAATATTTGATGTAACAGAAAAACGCGATTTTTATGGATTAGGCGGTTCCTATCATGCATTTGCTGGTAAAGATGCTTCAAAGGTAAATTAAATTATTTTTGTTTTTATTTTTGATATGACCAAGTTTATTCAATTTTATATGATTAGGGTCTTGCTACGTCTACATTGGAAGATGTATCTGGTGACTATAGTTCTTTAAATGAATCTCAGGTAAAATTTATAAAGTCTTACGTTATTATTTATATTTTAAAAATTAAATCCTGTATTTATATAATATTTGACTCTAACATCAATCTTAACACAATAATCATGTATATATAGCTTAAAACTCTTGATAATTGGTATTCATATTTTGAACAAAGATACAATATTGTAGGGAAAGTTATCTCTTAAAGATTGCTAGCTGTTATAATGTGATAAAATTATTAGAATTAAATTGGTTATCTATGTATTTTGCAATTCAATATATTGTTCTTAAATTTTATTATTAACATATGATCAGTTGACACATTTAAATAGTTACCCGCTTTATTTAAAAATAAACTTGCATGAAGTAACATATATATATTATTAAACTCTACTATTGCACAATTGATATAAAAAAAATTAAACTATTAAGTAAAATCTGATTGGCTATTATTAATTATAATCACCGAAGTTTTCTTATTCAGCTGTTTCTATTCTTTTTTTTTTTTCTCACATTAAATAAATAAAAAATTTCCATGAAAAAAAAATAATAATAATAATCAAACCATAATAATAGCGCAGACGATACAAAATAATATTAAAATGATTTGTCAAACAAATCAACAACAAAGTTCAAATTTAATGTTATAAAAATATGTCTAATAATCAGGTTGATTAAAGTGTCTTAAAAAAAAATTAATAAAGAAATTCAATATTTAATTTCGATGTCGCCTTCCGCAGGTGCATCCAGATCAACATATGATTTCACCTGGCGAGGATCAGAACTCGCATTAAGATCACTTAATATACAAAATATATCATACTTAATTATGTTTTGTTCATAATATCATAAATCACTTTAAAATTCATTTTTAAAGAAAACTTACTTAGGTCTAGATGGTTGTCTTCTTGTGTCAGGTGTTTGTCTGGAGCCACGCTCTCGGCTATCATCTCTTTCATCAAATCCAATCCTTGGAATTTGATCATGAGGCGTTCCAGCTGCTGCGCCCATAATAGGAAAACTGAAATTCATGAATGGAGGTGGTGGTGCATTAGTCATAACCGGGAATGGGTTAGGTGGAATAGGTGTAACACTTTGAGGAACAAGTGCTGCAGTAGGATTTGGTGGTGTTGTGGGAAGAAGATGGTTTGGATCAAGAACGTAATTGTTATAAAATTTCGCCTAAATATTTTATAAATAATAATAATAATTAATTAATTAATTAATTAACATGATTATAAATTATTTAACTTTTAATAGCAAAATAATGACCCACATCATTCGTTGTAGTATCGACAGTATTATGATGTTTGTAATCAATGTGCTTCTTAACAAAATCTGCTCCTTTAAACAATTTACTACATAGGTTGCATTTGAATTTACGACCAGGTTCCACTTCAATAATATTTTCACTGTAAAAATTTTCCAAAACCCTAAAATGATATTAAATTAATCCATCAAAACTAAAATTTTAACTTTAATAATAACTAAATAACATGAAAAATAATACATACTGTTTAATATTTAGTCCACCATTCTTATCAACCTCATTTTCATATTTTGATGGTTCCGTCTTGTAGTTAATTTTATTATCTAAAGTTTTCAACCATGTTGTGGCTACTCAAAAATAAATAGAGTATTAGGCAATTTTTATTAATGCAGGTGTGATTAATGAATTAACGAATTAAACTTACCGTTAATTTGTTTTTCTTTTTGTGATTTTCCGGCAGATTTAGAATCGTTGCTTCCAGGTAAACTCCTCAAATGACGACCCGGGCATTTTCTGTTAAGTTCCTCCACAGAATCAGATTCACAACCGCAATAGTAGCAAAAAAGGTGGGTCCGACGCAAGTATTCAATATGAACATCCAATATCCTCTTAATCTAGTCATTATTTAAATTATAATTATTACTTGAACATATTTATTATTTTATAATAAATTATGAACTTACATTATCTATTTCTTCACGACGATGACCATCGTCAATTAAGACAAGTCTTTGTTTGATATGTTGACTTCCAGTCATTGTAACATCAACGTCCTTATCAAGCTTTTCAGAAAGCTTAACAGCCATTCCCAAATCTTTTTTCAATCTATCAAGAGTATTAGCAACATCTGGTGTAGTTCGATTACGAACAGGCCCAGTTTGATTTTTATGACGAGCCAAGTAAAAAACGAATTCATCAATCTAAGAAAGAAATATAATTGAGATGTTATTTTTTTTTTTAAAAAAAAAAAAAAAATTATCATTTCATATCTCCCATATTTTTACCTTTTGCTCATTAAGTCTTTCGTATGCTGAATCCATGTCAGTTCCTTCTTCAAAAACAATCCAGCCAAGACGATGAAATTTTTTTTGAGGGTTTGGTTCGGATAAAGCAAGATATTTAAACCCGGGAATTTCTTTGCACATCTTTATATTAAAATAATATAAATTAAATAAACTCAAAAATTGTGTGCGAAGTAATATATAAACAAATCACACATACCTCTTCTATTTTTTGCCTGGAAATGCTGGGTGATACGCTCTTTATAAAAAGCCTATTAGCATCATCATCCTGTTCACTTTTGTCTGCGCTAGATTCTATTGAAAACAAGATAAAGTTATTTGTAAATAAACTTAAATAAACTTAAATTTCTTAAATATCCTGTTGTAGACATACCACCTTCCGTCTTTATTTCATCTTTATTCTCTTCAACGTCGTTAACAATATGATCGAAAAGACCTCTTTTCAAATCCGTGATAAAATTTTGATAATTTTTCTTTTTTAATTCCTTAGTTGCTGTAATCCTTGGTTCCATATACTTTGGATGATATTTTTCAAGAAACCATTCTTCCTTTTTATGTGCTTCAAAAAAGGTTTTCAATTGTTTAATGCCAAAAGCTTCTTTATAATCATTGTATTTTTTATGCAAATCGTCATCTGTATATCGTGCTTTTGGATTTGACATCTGAAGGAATTCGGCATAATACTTGAATGTCACTAAAAAATCAAGTTGATCGGGATCTTTCGGCGGATCTTGTCTAAAAGGATAGAATATGTATGCATATTAATTATATGACGTACAACATATATACATCTACTTTTAACTTATATAGCTTGCTTTACCTTCCAGGACCTGTCCAATCCATTGTCATGAGAGGCCCACCAGGAGGCATAATCTGTGGTGCTGGTCCTACATTAAATCCTTAATTATTTTTTTAGCAATTAAAAGCTTAACCAGTTTATCATACACATTTTTTTGAGATAGTGGTTTAAAAGTAAAAATAATACATGCATACCAAGTGATAAACTGACTGGAAACCCATGTGGTGGAAATCTCATATCTCCTGGTCTACCAACGTATCTCGGAGCAGGTGTATAACCGTCCTTCTCATAGTTGGGAATGTAATGATCTCCTTCAAGCTGTTGTGGTCTCCTTGAATCAGGCGATATAGATCGTCTTCTTTTAGAACGTCGATCTGAATAGTTCGTTAAATCTAATAAATGTCAAAAAATAATTAAATCTAATATTAAATCTAAAAAAAAAAAAAAATTGATAGATACCTCTCTCTTCAGGTGATGAATTATTGTCTCTTTTACCGCGCCTTTCATTATAAATTGATCGGTCTCTATCTCTGTCTCGTTCCCGGTCTCTATCTCGGTCTCTATCTCGTTCGCGATCACGGTCACGAACATCTCTTCGATCAAGACTACTTCTTCGTTCGCGTGTAAATTTATCACGACTGTGGTGAGTTCCTTCGTCATCTGAATGGTCCATACGCCGTTGTTTAGAGCTCATTTTAGCGTTGAGGTGTATGCAATAAGAGACTTGTAACTTCTATCGGTATAAGGACGCAAGGAGTATTTGTTGTAGAACAGATAATCTTGTTCTACACAAATTATAACGAATCCAAATGTCAAAAAAAAGTGAAAAAATGGTAAGATTCTCATGTTTTGTCACGCTTTTGAGTTTCGTTTTCTATCTTGAAGGATGGTGATTTGATTAATTTAAAAAAAACCGATGGAAAATGTTGCATTAAGGAAGGAAGGTTTATATATAGAAGAAAAGTGTCTATAAAGAACGCGATTTTAATACGAGTTTTGTGTTTAAGCAGTGTTTAAACTAGAGTAGTTCATATAAAAGTTTTTCACAAGAGCAAATATGACCAACAAATTCAAACAAGTTTATGATGAGCAAAAGTTTCTTGACAAGTAAGTTTCTTACTGAGACTATAGTTAGATCTTTAAATAGTTTTTTTCTTGATGGTTCACGAACATTTTGTGTTTCAATCAAGTTAAGAGTGCGGTTTTCTTATACAAATGTTTAGGTTCCCAGAGAAGGTATAAGTTTTTGATGAGAACGTAGATGGACTCACTCACCAGATCCGTATCTAAGTCAAACAAGTCGACTCTTAATCTTTACAATAGTTGTTTCTGCTTCACATATAATATACGTAGCCACTAAATCACCGAACCAATCATTTGGTTATGTGGTTACACGAATAGCTTATTAGTGCTAGATTACTGGATTAGCAACATATCACATTAATCTATGCCGTGTGATGTAATATGAAGTTTTACTTTTTTCTGTCCGTAGCGGTAGTTTAAAATTAATTTCATAACATAGCGTATGTTTTCGTGTAACCGTCCTATTGGTATTTTTCTTATTTCATTGTTCACGACAATATTTTTATGAAATAAAGTTCCATTTTTTAAAAATTCGATTTTGATTTCAGAAAAATATTTTATATGCGATATGAGTTACAGATTGCACGAAGATGCTAATTTTGTTTTTGCACTTCAGAACTCTCTCCCAGTTTCTTTCTTATATCTTTTATATAAGCTGGAATAAATTTTATCTGTCAAAGGTTTTGCTAAACCAGTTAATTTAAATGTCATTCATAATATTCATCAGTTAAGATTTTATTCACCTCTGACAAAGTATATTCTTTAGAAAGTACTTTGAACATATTTGCAAATCAAACATATCATAACTATCTGCTTGATGCCATTTATACTAAAATATAATTCTAGGCGTAGAAATTCATTAAAACGCTTCACTTCAGTAACGAATTAATGTAATGACTCTTGTTTCAATAGCCTCCTTTTAAGTGTAAGAGGTTTCGGAATATTAGCAGAAGACATGTGAATGTTTTATATAATTGCGAGTCAATTCAAAATCACATAACTATTAAAAATATATATATATAATATATAACAAATATATTTCAGATTATATAGGCAATATGTAAGAAAACATGAACGAATAAAGTTCACAATTATTTACAATTTCAGATGCTTCACATTTAATGTAGTAAGATCCAGCTTTATAATCGCCTTCTATACCTTCCTCATCTTCATGAATTAACTTGCAGTAATCCCTACTAAATTCTCTATACAAATCGGGATATTGGTCCAATGTTTTGTCATTAAATTAGCATGGGCAATATTTGGATTGACTAGAGCTATGAATAACGGATTTGCCGGTGAGACTTTCTTGATAACAGTTTTTATATTGTCATATTGGCTTGCACCGAATATTCGAATAAATAATTATCAGATGAATAATTCGAATAAAAATCTTATTCGAATAATTTTCATTATTATCACGTGAAACTTCAATTTTTAGCTGCTTCACACATAATAACTACGTACATATTACGTTGGGGTATCCAATGTACTATATAGATCAAATATACAGTATGTATAGTTTTATATTAAAAATTAGGGGAATTTACAAATAAGGGCCCAAAAATGTAAAATAATTACATATTGAGGCCCTATTTTAATAAATTTTAACAGTTTTTACTATTGCTATATCTCATGATACCGTAAATGAAATTTAACGATTTTGATACTTTTCGAATCGTCTCATTTAGACACATTAAATGGCCAAATTTTAATTACTGGATTACGAGTTATTTAATATTTTCTAAAGTCTGTTTAAATCGTAATATCTTGTTATTCTGTTATTAAAATTTAGCGATTTTAGTATCATTTAATTCGTCTCGACGAGATGATTCGAATGGTATCAAAATCATTAAATTTCATTTACTGTATCATGAGATATAGTAAAATTTGCTAAAATAGGGTCTCTATATGTAATTATTTTACATTTTGGATTCTTATTTGTAAATTCCTCTAAAAATTACTATTGGAATTTTTTTTTGAGATAATTGTCGATTTTATATTTTTTATTACAGTACTAATACTAATTACATAACAGATATAACAAAGATTCTAAATTTTAAATAGGTTTAAAAACATTTTGGTTGTTTCTTTTTTTTATATATTTTTATACTGTTGTTACAAGTGTTGGTCTTCTTTATACAACACAAGTAACATAAGACACAGAAGAGAGGCTTTCAACGGTATCTAAGTAGAATATTTCTTTACTGTAGCAGTTTGTTATAAAGTTAATAAAAGAGCAAAGATTATATTTTATTTAAGATACAATATTGATAATACAAAGTCTGGTGATCTAGTTTAGTGGTTAGGTTGTCAGACTGCTATGCAATAGGTCTGGAGTTCAAATTCTATTGTTGATGAATTTGAATAATTTTTCAGACCTTGTAAAATACATTAAAATAAACTCTGTTTGTTTCTGAGAGTATACTTTGTAAATTGAGTTGTACCAAATTGATTAGAACTTGGAAATATAGTATAATATTATATGAATAAATTTTAATAGGATATACGAGCAGAGGATCTGCATAGTAGAAATCCTGAGTTAGTGAAGTAGTAGGGCTTTCTAATAGGACTACATTAGCTAAAGTCTGATCTGAGAAGAAAACTTAGTCTAATAAAGGTAAAAGGTTTTGAAGTCTCCAGCTGAAGGGTAACTAAGACTAGCTGAATACTGGAAAAGAACTAGGTCAACTGACCAGTAGAGGATCATAGTAGAATTTAGGGTTGTATGAATATCTACAAGGATCTAAGCTAAGTAAATCTGTAAAATATGTACAGACTACTTTAATAGGTTTGCTTTAAGGTTAACTAACTCTACAATACTAGCAATATGTCTAGTATAATATATTCTAAGAGGATCAAGCTGTTCTGAATAAATGAATTTGTAATGAGCTAGTTAGCTTAAATAGTTAGATATTATAGTGATGTTAGGTTAGATTTGTATGAGTTAATGAACAGAGTATTTAAATAGGTAACTCACAAGCGAGTTACAAGTATAGCAGCATAGTGTAGAACTAATCAGGTAGCCTAATGCCTATGTAGTAGACTACTTAAAATAGACAATAACTAAAGTTATACATATGGCTTGTTATAAACTCTTTATATAATTACAAACAGTAAGGATTATCAATATATAATCCTATTAACAACTCTAATAAAATTCTTTTAGCAATGTAAACTGTTTTAACAACAAAAAAAAAAAAATATTGATAATACAAGACTATCTATTAGTTTCTGTGCTAAGAAAATTCTAATATTAAGGTAATTACAGAGGTCAAACCTAATCTGAGACAAAAGGAAAAGGAAGGGTTTATATATCTTTTTTAAAAAAAGTAAAAAAGATAGAAAAGGTAGAAAAAGTAGAAAAGGTAGAAAAAATAGAAAAAATAGAAAATATAAAAAAGGTAGAAAAGATAGAAAAGGTAGAAAAGATAATTTGTTTTAAACTTGTTTCTAAGATAACTCAATAACTATATATATGTTTTATATAATTTATAGCTCGTTAGAAAGGTCTCATTAAGCTAGATCTAATAGTCTAACTTAAAACTAATTTTTAACTATTTAGTTTATTAAGAAATTGATATTAAATAAAATATATCCAAGAAATTAATTATATAAAATACTAATAATAAATAAAATAATAATAACAAAATAATAATAAAATAAAATAGGTAAAACTCATTTTATAATATTTCTGTTTTCTTTAAAAATAAGCACTACAAATTCTAACTATATTTAGAAAATTTGTAAAATCTTTATTATATAACTCATTCAATTTACTAAATATAATTTTAGTAGTAGAATAGAGTCAAGGTAATCTACATATTTGAAAGATCTTATAAATCCATTCTGTATATTTCTATATTTTGTTTGCTTATCAAGATCTTAGAGATTTCTATAAAGTATTACAAGTATACTTTATTCTTTCTTAATAATTTATTATACTTTCTTGTAGCTATCTTAAATAATAATATGCTTCAAGAGTTTTAATAAATTGTCTTTATTGTTTTCTTCGATTCTTTTCTTTTAATCAAGAGATTATTTTTTTAAGTTTTTCCTTATGAGAGTTTTCTATTAAGAGATTTATTCTAGTAAAAACTTTATCTTTTTCTACTAGTAAGTCAACAATAAATTCAGTAAGTAGACTATTTGAAAAAAGAGAAATTTCTTCTAGTTCTTGAGAAAACAATCTTTCAGTAGTTTCTCTACTTAAACTTTCTTGCTACAAAAGTATAGTTGTTTCTTCTGTTTCTAAGAATTTATTCAAGTTTACATTAGAGAAGAGACTTTCAAATATAACTGATTCATTTTCTATTGTCTGAGTTGAAGTTTCTGTTTTTGTTAGTATTGTTATTGTTAAGAAAATATTAGTTTTATTCATTACAGAAACTTGATTTTCTGTTAAAACTAAACTATAGTTTGTTTTAAAAGAATCTTGATTCCAAATTGTTAGAAATTCTTTAAGAGTATTTAGAGTTTGGAGTTGTAATTGTTGAACATTTTGGGTATCTATTTTTAGAGTATTAATTCAAAAGGTAGTGATTTTAAGAATTTCTAATTTAGAAAAAATTGTTGAAGTAAAGTTTATATTTATAAGTTTTGATGTATTAC